AAATGAGAGAATCTTGCTCGCAACCGTGGAAGTAAATATGACATTTCTTTTTTTTCGGATTTCTTTTTGTTTTTCAACGGACACGTGTATCGGATACGCGTGTCCTTTTGAAATTAAATAGTATTTTAATTGGATACGGCTTTGGCGTATCTGACACGTATCGGTGGAGTATCGGAGGCATATCCGTGTATCGATGTATCGGATACAGCACGCCTTCATAAATAGGTGTATCGGTGCAACATAGGACTTCAAACTCGACATGAATGATAAATAACCTGAACCTTCAATCCGTGTATCGATGTATCGGATACAGCACGCCTTCATAAATAGGTGTATCGGTGCAACATAGGACTTCAAACTCGACATGAATGATAAATAACCTGAACCTTCAAGAACAAAAAGGGACTCAGTCTTGCATTTGATCTGAACAAAGAACTTGAACTCACACTTGACCTCGTACTATACAACATTAAGTGGGAGTTGTAGACTCGATGAACTCGAGTCTAAATGAAACTTAACTCGAACTCAAACATATAAAAATGACAAAGCTTGAATCATGTGCGAGGGAGTTCAAACTACAAGAACATTTGTACGATCAATAATGACTCAAAGTACGTTACAAGACCTCGATGCATGAACTCCTACGACAATCCCTATAAATGCATGTTGATTGGAGAAGGCAACACTACCACTTGATAGTGAAAAATCCGTCCCTACAAAATACAATCATCAAACCATAAGAGATTGGTGAAAGGTGGACATGATGTAGAAACAATGGCTCTCCTACGAACACTTCTAGGAGGTCGTAGTGGATACAATGGGTCCCCTGCAGATGAATATGAACTACTTGTGGATAACAACAGTGGATATATCGTAGGTACAATGACCACTGTGGGCACAAGTACATATGTCACCTACGACAACAGTGACTAAAATGTTGCTAAGTACGTTGGGTACGAGGACAACTCAATGTACGAAAAAGGACACCTCCTGGTAGAATAAAAGAGAGGTTTGAACAAATTAGAACTAAACTTCCTGGTGTTCCAAAGTTTCCTCTTGGTTCTATCCTTAAGAAGAAAACAATTCTGATATCCATAGATACTGAAAATAACAAGTCTACTACATTGATCATCTCGGAAGGAGTCCTTTTCAAGGCAGTGGCCACTAACTTCAAAGAAAATCTCCCCGATAAATAAGAAAGGGGGAGTCAACATCAAGATAAGGAGATGCCTCATGACATCCAAATAATATCGCCACCGGATCTGCAACACTCATACGAGCAGACAGAAGGCGTCCACAAGACTACAATGCCACGCCACCGGATCTACAATCTTAGTACAAGCAGAAAGAAAGCGTCTATAATCTACAACGCACCGCCACCGGATCCGCAACACTCGTACTAGCGGACAGAAGGCGTGTATAAACTCTTAAACGAAATGTTGTGTGTACTCAAATAGCAGTTACCTGCACAACTATAATTATTTCAATGTACCCCTGCACATGCACCGTAATTTGTATACACATAGGTACAGAAAAGAGGTAAATACAATCATAACCCGCATGGGCCCCGGCAAGCGTGTTATTAGTACACACGTGACGTCTAGGGATGCTGCGCTGGTTAATAAGTGAATTCAAATTCGAACCCGATCATTCTATACGGATCAATAGGAGTCTACAAAGTTCGAACCAACAAACAAGTATACGGTCGCGACGACCAGTATATTTGTTTTATTGCATTCATATTAGGTCGTTAAGGTCTATAATCAAGAGAATTCACTAACAAAGGCACAAAGCCTACGAAACCCGATCCTCCTAAGCAGGTAAATAAGAGTAGACAGGGTTCAAACCATCGGATAAATATGCGGTCACGAAGTTGACCGGAATATTTATTTTATACATTCATATCAGGCCTTCAAGGCCTTTAACAAAAAAAATTCACAAACAAAGGCATGAAGCTCAAGAAACTCGATCCTCTGTTGACAGCTCAATAGAGTTGATAAGGCTCATCCACAAAATGCAAATATTTTCAAATGAATGACCTCAAACACCCCGATGATGGCCGTTTTGAATGTTTATCTCAAACGGAGGAGTTCTCAAATATTTTCAAATGTCTCACAAATAACCAAATACCCATCAAAATCCAAACTCTGCGAGAAATCTCAATTCCAAAATATTTAAAATTGAAACTCCATCATCAACCACTCAAAGCAAAATACATCCACCCTCCGCAACAGTTTGCTGAGTTTGACAAATTAAAATTTACTTCAGCTCACAAAGAGCCAAATGCCTAGTCGAAAATATCACTAAAATCCATTCTCAGACAATCTCGTGCTAATAAGGATGTGGTACGTGTCCTCTGACCGGCGGTTTTACCGCCAAATGGCACCGCAGGATAAACAGTTATGACCCGGGTCCCTCTGAACCGAGTGGTTTTGCCGTCAAATGGCACCACGAAATACCGGTTATGGCCAGAGTCAATACATTCCTTATTGGCATCAAATCCTTGAGATATGAATAAATAAGACATGATCGATATGGCACAAAGCCCTCTGTTAGCTAAAGTGGATTCAAATTTATCCCCTTAGACAAACATTCACCCCAAGTCTACAAGGTCCCCTTGGACGAAGCAAGCCATGGCTGCCGACAAGGATCCTTCTGTCAGGTTGGGTCGACTACCTCCTCTGACTAAGTAGACCAAGGACCACGATGGCCCGGGACGACGGAACCATGGGATCTTGATCGGGTCTATCATCCATTCCCCCACCATCTGCTTTAAGTGAAAGATGGTGAAATTTCTATTTTAAATATAAAATTTTTCAAACACCCAAACTTTCCAAATTCTCAAAATTCCATACTCATGCTGCTACTATATGCAAGATAACACGTATCTCTACATATCTGATCGACGACTAGCCTTAATCGAAAGTTTTCTCTCGTGATCGAGAGGGGTAATTAACTATAGGGGCTTGCGCCTATAGGAAACCAGAACTCAGATCATAAAGTCTTCACAAAATGAGGGTGAAATCTCTGAGTAGTGTCTTATCTACAAACCCATCTGCCTTCCAAAATTTACCCCGGAACTTAATTTCGTTAAAACTCTCGTTGAAAAGAAAAGCATAAACAGTCGCGGGCGGAGGCCGAGGCCGAATTTTCGGAGCCCACAACTGTTAATTAAGACAAGCAAAATTCCTATTTTAATGTTGTTGTGTATCAAATATTATGGGATTCCACTTCATTCATATGGTGTGGCTAAACTGTCTCTAGACTAAGGGACTATTTGGCCACATAATTTAATAGGATTTATGCAGGATTTGAGCATGATTTAAGCCAAATCTTACCAAACGGTATTCGAGAACCCGCTAAATCTCACGGCGGAATAAATCATGTCTCCCTCTTTGGATTGTAAATCTCGGATTTAATAAATCTTGAAATTTAGTGGATTTATGGGATTTGGCCAAAGAAGCGCGTGAAAGGGAGAAAGATAGTTACCTTCACAATGAGTGAGCTCCCTTCATTGCTTCCGATCAAAATGTCATGACTTCCGATCCGATAGGAAGCGAACATCATTAAAGGAGACAAATAAGCGACTCTTTGCAACAAAGTTGAATAGCAATGAAGGAGTTAAAGAAGTGACTCGTGCAAAACTCTAACTCACAAAAAGCAATGAAGTTGAACAGCAACAACAATATAGAGAAGATGAAAAGTAAATCCTAGAGACCACTTAAGCTATTGGGAAGAAAATAATCTAATTTAACTTAATTAGCATAATTTAAAATAGTAACAATTAAGTAGATTAATTAAACAATTAGTAGTATAATTAGTGCATAAACTAATTATCTAATTTATTTTAATTAAATAATTAGTAATTAAAAATTGATATAATTAGCTTAATTAATATAACTTGGAATAGAAATTATTAATTATGTAATTAATCATGCATATAATAATTAAATATTTAATGAATAGTAGAATACTTAAGTGATTAATGAAATAATTAATAGTATAATTTATAATCAAAACTAACTAAATAACACTTAAATAATTAATTTATTAGTTAAATAATTAGTTGTTTCAAAAAAATTAACTAATTAATTAGATATCAAATATATCATTATAACATTGATGATAATTAAAATTGAAATTAATAAGTAATCGTACTTAACACCCAAATTAAATTCAAAATATATTAAATTTAATTTCAAAAAAATTAACAAATTAATTAGATATCAAATATATCATTATAACATTGATGATAATTAAATTTGAAATTAATAAGTTATTCGTACTTAACACCCAAATTAAATTCAAAATATATTAAATTTAATTTTTAAATGAACTAACCACCTTAAATCCTGGATTACATTTCCAAATAGCTTCACAAGATTTAAGAACTATGTTGTCAAATAATTTTCAGGATTTAACACATCAGGATTTACTAAATCCGGATTTACAAGATTTAGTAAAATCCGGATTTAGTAAATCCAACTAAAGTTAAGCCTACTTGTTGCCGCCAAACAGCACAGAAGAAGCTCACCTAATTGATGTGAATATGCTAACAGATGCCTTTAAAGGAGATTCCTTCACAGAAACTCTCATATGTATATTTAAATTTTGTTAGACACATTCAAGGCAATCAAAATATTAAAATTTCAACAATTCACAAGAAAACCATTGTCCATGATGACTATTTGATAACAACACAACTTACGGTAAGAGAAGCATACTTAGATAACTTGTACGCTTTAGCACCCTGCTAATGATTCCATAGGCCAATTCAACAGCACTTGGGATCAAGCATCTTAAGTGCCTAACGATATTGACATTAAGTTATCCAATATGTACTGATATCTAAGAAAAGTAAAAAATTAAAATGGTGATGAGACAATAGAACAAGTAATATTTGCAGAACCCATGTTTATAGAGGAACAATACATTACCTTGAAAATGCAAGCCTGCGGCTTTACATCATTCGGATCACCATACTTGTCCACAACATTGAATGTAATCATTATAGGAACTTTTGCTGCTGATTGAAGAGGAATGCCACTATCCAATTGAATGCCCCGAACAAGTTTATTTGTAGCAGTTGGTAGATAAAGGTCATCACCTTCGACACTAATTTTCTCAAGCTCTCTGCATAAAGATGAAATCACCATATAGTAGTATAGCCTCCAAAAGTTTATTATAATAATGACTACCTTTTAGTGTATTACAATAATGACTACCTTTTAATACCAGCACGGCGCTCTTCCTTCGGTAGAGGATATAAAACACCAGATATAGAGGTGACCTTATCGAAAAAATCAAATTCTCTTTGAAACAAATCACGTGCTTCAGGAGTAAAACCATCAATAATCTTTTGTCGCAGAATAGGAAGCATTGCTTGGAAGGAATTACCCTGAAAAAGGTTTAAGAATAAAAAAAAATGCAATTAGTTACTTGACTACTGAGACGTTTTTGTATTTCCACACATTTGCCATCTAGGTATTTTCTCCTATAAAGAGAAAAAAATTTCTAAATTTGTCACTTGTAATTTAAAATAGAACCATTCTCAAATGTCAAGATGAAGGTACTATTTAGTATGATGTAAGTTGTCTTATTCAAGCTTTACTTGCAAGGAACTTGATCTACAAAAAAAAACTATAATAAAAAACTACTAAACATTGTTCACAACTTCAGTAAATTTTTCAGATAACAAATTCTTCAAAGAAGGATTCTATTATTATTAGTATGGACCTTTACAAATAATTTTCAAAAACAATGCCCGAAGAAGATGGAATTCTCTCCTCCGCTGGAAGACTTTTTGCATGTATCCTTGCCGCATAAAACCACACCCCTCTTGTCGTAGCTGGCAACTATTCGGAACCCACGGCATTGCTTCTATGATTTGCAGCATATAATTTCTCAGCTTTTGTGCAATCGTGAGACTTGTAGCCTTCATATTGCAACTTGCAGACTTATGTTAAGGAACTTGTGGCCTTTGTCTTTGTCTCTGTTGCGGATCATGATTACCAGGTGACTACAATTTGCAATTTTTTGTCCTTAAGAAACTAACTTTAGTGGTATTCATGACTTACAAGTGATTGTAATTTGTGATTTCTGGTCTTTAGCAACTAATTCTAGTGACATTCGTGCTCTCTGTAATTGAGGCAAGTGTCATGTGAGATTTTAATGGCTGATTTGATTGATTAATATGGACTTCAATGGTTTTTTTAATTATAAATAGGGGGTCATGTAAAAAAACAATGATTTTGTTTGTGGGAAGAAAGTTCCTTGATCAAATGCGAGATTTGCCATTTTGATGGATTATTTGTTCAGTGAATAAGGACTTGAGATTTTTTTCATTATAAATAGAGGAGTTTAGGAAAATACAAAAAAACAATGAATTTGATTGTGAGCATTCTAGTTAGATGTATTATTCCTTCTTCTAGGACTCAACTCCTTAATCAAGTGCGAGACTTGATGCTTTTAAAGAGAGGCCATCTCCTTGTACAAGTGAGTCCTGATTCTTTTGAATATGGTGACTAATTTCAATTTCTTTTATTTCAATTTTATAAATTTTATCATTAGATTAATTGCGTGGTTAGTTTTATTGATGTCGGATACAATTTTAGCTTTAATAAGTTCTTTAATTTCAAATCATTACGTGGTTTACTTTGTTCTAAATTTCTAAGCATTGCTTCTAGTAGAAAACAATTGAGTTGTTAACTGAATTGCTCTCTTTGCACGTCCAAATTTCATAAAAAGTAATAAATAGTAATTAAAATGGAAATAATGTTTTGTGTGCATTTGCATAATTTCGTGAATTAGAAAGCCTAGGACCTAAGACACCCTATATCAATGCCCTATTTGAGATAAACAAGGTACTAATGGATGATAGATTGGAAGTAAGATCTACGGAAAAAGTAAAAACATGGTCCCAGGTATCCAATGGGCAATCAAAGTTCATATATTTAAAGCAATTGTAATGTTTTTCAAGATTTAGGCTTTTTTAGGCATTATTGTGCTTAGTTGTTTGTGATGCACTGTACTATATTTTGTTGGAGCTATAAATTAGAACAATTAACTATTTTGGTAGCACTACTATCTAAACTGATGTAAGTTGTAGTTAATTAGTAAAAAAATTACTATTGCAAATTTTATAGTATCATAACATGACAAACTAATCTTAATTAGTATATAATTATTAAAAAATTAATTAATTTATTTATTGAATAGAATAACTAAAATTTATAAAAGCACTTTTGGTGAATCTATCTAAACTATTGTTCAAAGAAAGTTACTTTGAAGATTTCACACAGCCAAACTTTTCTCACCGCAGTTAACCAGATGTCCTTAATTATTTTCAGATATTCAAAGAAGCAGCAGCAGGCAGCATAAAGCATTGCCAAACAAACTGCTGGCGAAAAGAGGAAGATGTCGACAACATTTGGTCGCACCTAATGATGTTTATGCAATTCAAATCAAAATTGGCTTCATGGCATTGTCAAGGCGACAAGTAGTTGGAAAAACCAGCAACCATAATCTGTGTAAGGTGTAACACTAGCCCTCTCCACTCGAGGCTGTTAAAAATTTGATATCAAAATAGAATTTGAGGAATTCAATCACATTTGATACATACAATAAGTAAAAATAACCGTCTAAATTTCCAAACAGCTTTTTTGACACATATTCAAGGTGAGCCAAAATCAGACTGGTGCTACAAAACTATTGTTAAGCAGTTTAGAGTAGTTAGATCAGCACTCAAAAGGAAAAAAAAATGATATAATCTAGAAATGATAGGATAGAAAGCGTAACAAGTTCTAATAAATATTAGTTTTCCCTTTACGTAAACTGGGTTATTACACTATCTTAAAAGCATTCAGAAGATAAAATTGATTTGTCCATTAACATAGGAAAAATATGCATAGAAACATGACTTTGTATGGTACTATACCAGAAGAATGGGGAATTTAGATACCTTCAAAACTTACCAACGACCATTTGAAATAAAACATACCTCACACTCATAGAGAATAACTTAGAAGGGAAAAAAATGAAAATTTTCATGAGCCAAAAGTAAGCAACTTCTTACCATAGGAAGCGCCCCATCCTTTCCAGATTCTGAAGCACAAGACTCACCCTGCCATCAAGATTTTAGTGTTAAAAAAGCACAAGCAATAGCAAGGCCAGTTGTTTGTGTGAAATGTTAAAGGAAAAAAAAGACTTTATACACACATTCAGAAGCAACAACAACAACAACATGAAGCCTTTGTCCACTACGTGGGGTCGGCAAATTGGAAGTGTCACAAATAACATTCACTTCCATAATTACAAATTCATTTTTCACCTGAAGATGCCATATTAGAATGTGAGCAAAGACATTACTTCGTCGAGCAGCTCCAAGAAGGTATCCTTCCACTAATTTCTGAGAAAATACAACGAATTCAACAACTTCAGTAAAATATTTGCAAAAAGGAAAGTCCAAAAGCTACATGAACATGGAAAAAAGTTAAGGGCATCCTAAATTTGGAGTGACCAACTAACAAAAGAAGCCTATAGTATCAACATGAAAAAATCCAGCATGTAAATTTGAAGTACTCACGCCTTCATCATATCGGAGAGCTTGAACTAGTTGCGGCATAAAGAAGGTAACTCGTTCTGGAGGATAAGACTCCAAAACTCTAAGAACATAAGCCATGACCCGTGGGTGACCCTTGAATGGAAGGGTAAAAAATTCTAAAGCTTGTGTGATTGAACAGGCAGCCCAGTGTGGCAGCTGCTGCAGCAGTACTGAATTCTCCTCAACTGTCTTTGGAGTCACAAAAAAGGGCAACGCTTGAGGTATTGTTCGTAGGTTTAATATGTTCGCCTGAAATACCATTGCAAGGTCTATTAGGAAGAAAAGGTTCCAAGGAAAATGCGAACTTTTCTAAACCAGAATTATTAACTAAAAGACGCCATTAAATTACAACAGCATGAAATTTCCCAAGTTTGTAGACGAGAGGTGAGACACTCGTTTTGCTCAAATCAAGTTTATTGCTAAAAAATATAATCAACAGTTTTTATGAGAAATTTTTGAATGATAAGGTACATTTCTAAAATATATAATCAACAATGGTTTATGAGGAATTTTTTGAATGATGGAAGAATTTATCACATCTAAAGTATGTTGAAAAAAAAAATTAAAGAGGTGGGATCAATTATGGAGGTAGCTATCTAGGAAAAATTAAAGATCGCCTTTAGTTGAAAGTGCCACATCCTGGCTCGAATAAGCATGGGTGAGCATTAAGAGTAGAATTCAAGATATCCCTTGAATATATTTGCTCAAAAAAGTTTAAGCACTTGTCAACACAGAGTTGGACACTGATGACACATTAGATGTTCGACATCAAATATTTTGGTTGTGGTGAAATCATAATTTCAAAAAGTTTGGTAGGAGTGCTCGTGGTGTTGTGAGCCAGGAGAGATGCTGGGGAATCCTTGGAGATAGGAATAGAGAGTGACAGGAAAAAGAAAAATTATTTAGAATGAGGGCAAACATGATGCTACGAGGCAATAAATTCTCTCATACCATGATAAATTATTCAAACCATTAGCATAAGTAAAGATAAAGCACAGGAACAGAAGCAAATGGAAATAGTTTCAAGGGTATTTTATTATTGCATACTGTAAAGGACATTTATAATGGCAGCTACCTATGGGTTGTTAAGGCTGTAAAGAGTTTGTTTACATTGGACAGCTTGGATGAAGAAAGTGGTTTTGGATGAGAGGTGTAGATTAAGTATTAGTAAGTAAAGTTGCTGGCACGGGTGGAGACGGGTTGTTGTGGCATATAGAGTCCAGATGACGCTTTCAGAAACTAACAACCTGTGGAGTTCATTTTCTTTTAGGTTGAAGTTAAGAATCAAACTAATTAAGTTCACACAAATCAAATTGATTTAGAAGATTTCAGAAAGTTAAAGTTAATAAATGACAAGAAATTAAAAAGATATTATGCTTCAAATTTAGGTTGTACTTATACAGGAAGGGGAATGTAGGCATGTTTCAGCGCTGTTATCTATCAACTATACATCCAGCCATGATTTTGGGACTGCCATCGTGTCTCACTTAATTATTCCAATAAACATAAAACGCACCTGAACCAACTGTGTTACTTCAGCTGTCATAAATGAATTTGTAGGAAATCTTGATGTCAGGCAGCAAGCAATTCGAGGATCAACCGAAAATGCAGTCCTCACATGTTCAACCCATCTTTCTGAGCTAACTTTATTGCGAAAGGATGTGTTATCTCTGTAATAGTTGACCCAAAAAACATTTAGATAATGCCACTAAAAAAAAAAGCTAAAATATAGCAAGCCAAAACAAAAGAATATCAGATAAAAAGTACTTTGTATTTAAAGGTTGTGCCCACACTTCAAGCCTATCAGCCTCATGCTGGCATAGCATAGCAAGCAACTGCTTCCGTTTGTCTCTTCCAGAAGCATAGTTATCCATATGTCCCCAGACAGGATGATATAGATCTGTCTATAAATGAAAAATATTCAGTATATAGGATACCTAGTGCTATATAATAAACTTCCAGAAGCATAGTTATCCATATGTCCCAGACAGGATGATAAAGATCTGTCTATAAATGAAAATTATTCAGTACATAGGATGCCTAGTGCTATATAATAAAAGCAGAACGAAAGTTGAAATATTATATTATCTGAGACATCTTACCAAGTTATTCAATTCACTATCACATCCTTTGCCTCTCAAAGATGAATCAATTGAAGAAGTTGAAGCAGCGTCTGTTTTCTCATTCAAAAGATGATGAACAACTAATGAAACAGACTGAGCCTCACTCTGTGCAAAACCCTTATCATTTGATTCATACCATTCTGGCTCACACGCAAACCAGCCCAATGAAGCACTGAAACATATAAAGTGTCCCTGAGGAGCTGGAACTTATGGAAATAACCTCCCTATTAAAAATAATCAGCTATTCCTATATAAAAACTAGACAATGAGGAAATCTTTAAAGGCATCGAGCATCATTCTAATACAAATAATAATATTCAATAGAAGACGTAATTTGACAAGAAGAATGCATTCATTTTAAACATAATCACACAACCCATAGCAAAATCAAGATAACTCAGGCACAAGCCCCAGTATAATTTAAAGCAAGATAGAAAACATTATCAATCAAATCTCACACCATTGGCATGGCAATAGCAGATATAGAGTTGAGAAGTGAGCATATTTACCGAAGAACCCGATCTTCTAGCAGCTGAAGCCCCATTTTACAGTTCTGGAGATTGCTCTGTGACTTACATGAGCAAAATTTCAATCCAAGTAGAATAGCGGTGAAGAAAGTTCCAGCAGCTGCGGGATGTTGTGAAAATTGAGATGGTGATTTCATCGTTCCTTGCAACATTCGGCCAAATAGTAAAAGTTGTTCCATACTATCATGCCGAACTACCTATAAAGAATCCAATGTCAAATGAAAAAAAAAAACAAGCAAAAGATTCTTTACGTTATCCCTATGAATAATTAGGCGTTACTAAAGACTAATAAACTAATACATATGTAGAGGATAAATACAGAAATAAACTACAGAGTACACCAAAACCATGACACAAAAGCATCAGCCATGTCAACATTGCATTTTACAAATATCTTCTGCGCAAAAACATTAACCAGGCACATCATGAATGCATGATTATAGTGAAACAATTATAGTAAAGAACTTAAATTATTCAAATGAAACAGATGAGCAGACGTAGAGAGATAGGACCAAGATAAATAACCTCAAAGCGGTCAATGAAAAAACCAAGCCAGAGTCTATGAGCCATCAATCCTTCAACAGGATCCTTCTCAGGCTGTGGCTCTGGTTCCCCAGGAATGAGGTGAGGCCTTAACTTTGCAGCAGGGCCAGAATTTCTCATTGCTGAAGCAAATAAACCACGTTTTGTATCTATTGTCCAAAGCCATGCATCAACAAGTTCTGCAAGAACAAGTGGCCCAAAGGAAGGTGCTGAAGAGACAAGCCATGTCCAAATAAATATTCCTGTTTCCATTGCATCTGGTGTTGAAATGTAAGCAGGGCACCAACAAAGAAGTCGTAATAGCTGTGAGAAGCCTTCTATTTTCAATCTAGACTCAGAAGCCTGGGCATGCATTTTCATATTAAAATAGAAGCTTCTAAAAAAAGCAAAAGCATTGTTTTTCAAAATTTTGCATAATTACACAAAGAAAGAAGAGATAAAGGTTTACCATGTGCGAAAGTAGTAATGCAGTAGCCTGCGAACAGGTTTCTCGAAACAAAGATTTATCCACAGCAATACCTTTCTCTGCAGTGCCGACAAATTGTTGAAGAAGCTGGACAAATTTTGCCAGGAGAATCTCATTAAAAGAAACTACTTGAGATTGTGGAGAAGGACCAGTTCCTAAACTCATCATGCCTAAATGAAAACCACCTATATTATTGTACAGCCTTCTCATACCAACAATCTCACCAACATAGTTACACTTCACTGTTGCACTCACAACTGCAGTAGACAAAACTTCCAAAATGAAACCCTCCGACACTTTCTTCTTTTCTCCTGAGGCAGCAGCAGAAGCCTCTATGACTGCAGGAATATTCGCAGTCCTGATCCCACTCCAACAATCATTTTTCCCAGAACAAATTCGGATTTCAGACAACAGAGAAACAATGTCGGAAGCATGTTGTGATTTTTGTAGTCCATTAAGCTTACAGAGAAATTCCTGGTAAAACAATTGCAAACAAAAGAATAGCCCAGAATTAGAAAGACATCTCTCATGGAACATTAAACAACAATTAAGGCTTAATAACTTGATTCTAGAATAAACAAATATTGTGACATAAATCCAAACCCCAGCTTGTATAACATAGAAAGGCTTATAAATTATTCCTTTGCATAAAAGAATGGCGATGTACAATTATGCATAAAATAAAATGCAGCACATGGAATATATCGCAAGTGAAAAATATTTTTTTACTAACTATTATCATTCAAACCAAACAAATTCAGGCAATAAACAGTTTCTTTGTTTCTAAAATCATGCATAGAAGTACAAATTTTGAGAATACAAACATAAATATTTGAAACACGTCTTGCATAATGTTGTGTTGTTTGGCAATTCAATTTGGTAAGAAATAAAGTCACACATAGTCTTATAGAGAGACATGCAACTTTGCAAATTTGTTCACCACTGCCACAAAGCCATGGATGAGGGGCATATGCAGTAGAGCGCTCTACATTGCACATTTCTAACGCAAATCAAAGTTGCGATATTTTTTCATTGCTAGTTTATTGTCATAGTTATGTCATGCCCACAGGGACTTCCATTTAATTAGTTTATTTCACTTAGCTTTTTTTCAGTTTTTTAGGATTTTAGTGTCATCTGCAGTTTATTGAGGATATCTTAGTACCTTTTCTATTTTCCTCCGAGTTGTACCTTAAAATTTTAGGTGTTTAGCAGGATAGCCATATTTTGCTTGTCAAGGTTTTCTATATGTCCATTAATTTTTTACTCTCGATCTTGTATCATGAGGTTTTTGAAAATCAAAAGGGATTGAAAGCATGGTTTTGAAAATTGGACCGAAATGGCAAACTCGACTAGTTCAACTGTGGACCAGTCAAATGGTTGGTCAAGTCCATCTTGAAAACTAGCTTTACATCAAAATAGACTGAACCGATTAGAACCGCCAATTCTAGTGAATCATTTAACTTGTCTCGTTCTTCTGCACCAGCAGGTTCAATTATTATTCCATTTAAATCATTAAACAAATTAATTTCTTAAATTTTATATAAAACATTATATATAATATTAAACTTAGCAAATTAATTTAAATTTAAAATAATTTATTTTTTTAAAAAGCATTAAATGAAAATAATTATCATTTTCCAAAGAAGCACCAACCAAATATTCTCACATGGCCTCAGCATCCCATATAATACCCAAAATTTTGGTCCAAAAAGGTAAACATACAAATTTCCCCTATATTTTCTCACATATAGAAAGTATCAAGAATATTTTCATCAAATTTGATATTGAATTTCGAGTAATTTTGATATCAATATATCTTAAATGTCTATGAATAGGTATCTTATAAATAACTATTTAGTATTATAGTTAATATTATAGTTAATGAATAACAATTAATTGACAACAATTTATTAATTGTTACTGTAGTCTCCACTAATCTTGACATGCATGGGCTGGATGGAGATCAGACGGCTAGAATGTTAGTGGAATTGTAGTGGAGAATGCACTATCTTATAATAATATTATATATTACGGTAAAGCACTAGTAGACCTATAAGTCCCCTTCATTACTTTCATTTGCCCATCACCTGAAATTGAAGCAGTAGGCAAGCAAGCTGAGTAATAGTAGAGGATTCGGCTGCTGGAAGTTGGAGAAACCAAGTGCTGAATCTACGATTAGTGTTGGAGAAGCTGCAGTTCAAGAATGCATAAATTGTGGATTTCTGTCACTCTTTTTGAATGCTGAATGTGGAAATCAGTAAGGATAATGGAGGAAAAGCTAAATGCATGTAAGGGTATTGTTGTTTGCTGAAAGTAAGTAATAGTTACTGCTGCGATTTGCTGAAATAAAGGGGTTGTTGAAATTGGTTTGCTAAATGTATTACAGAAAGAGAAGTAAAGGTGTTGTGTTGAATGAGGAAGTTTAGTGAAGGTTGTTTACAAAAGGAAAAGAAAAAAGAATCAGTATACCGAGGTGAGATACCCAAACATGATGAGGTAAGCCTGCACTCTTAATTCTAGAAGTTGAGAAATTTGACTCAACCCTGAATGAGAGAACAACTTCCATTCTAAAAGTTGGGAAATTAGACCCAACCTTGAATTGGAAAGTTGAATGGTGCAAAAGCATATAGCCATTCTATAACTTATTTAAAGATGTGTAATAGTTTTGGTAAAGATAAATAATACTGCTAGGCACTTTCAGGCTCAATATGACATTTCAATATGTGTTTTAATTATGTTAGCATAGTTATGGTATTTCTTAATGGTTCATTATTATTTCTTATAACTTGCTTGCGTATTTCATTGAGTAAAGCTCATTAGCAGTGGTTGTACTGCAGGAAAGGGGAAGGAGCCCTTGGGACAATAAAAAGAGGTGATCGTTCTTTTGATGTAAGTAAGTTTTGGGGTGCAAGAGATCTAAAGCGAAATCTGAATGCTAGATGTAAAGACTTTTGGGTATGTGAATGAATTTTAAAAGTTTTAGTAGAGCTCTGTATTTGTTTTAATTATGTTGAGGTTCAATAAGATATATTACATGCTTCCTGTTGCTAAGTTTGGAGTTTGATACGTTGATATATTTCTCTGTTATACTCCAGTTCGTGGTAGAGGGTGAGTCAAACTTGGGTGCGACAGAAATTGGTATCAGAGCCAAATCAAGATAAAATGGAAGCATAATTGGATTTAGAAGAAGTAGCATGAGATATAATGAATATGATATATACAAAGCTATAGGTTGAACCAAGTTTTATTGGAATTGTGCATTCATTTCAGTACAATAGCATACTTGCTTATTTAACGCTTGAAAGATCATGTTTATTACCATGAGTATATATATTATATGAATTATCTAAATATGTATTCAGATAGATATGTCTGAGGAGTTGTTAGAAAGAATGACGGGTCAGTCATCCCTGCCAGATATAGAAACAAGAATGAATGAGGGAAACAAGTCTAAGGAACTTCAAGATATTGTGCAGTTGATTTCACAATTGGTAAATAAAATGACATCTATAGATAAATCTTCAACTAGCGGTGGATCCAGATCTGAAAGTGATAGTGAAGTTGAGCGACATTTAAAATTATTTCAGACTTTTAAATTACCAGAATTTAACGGTGCAAGTGATCCAACAGTAGCTGAAGACCGGTTGTTAAAGATTGGAAAGATTTTAAATGGTTAGAACTCATCAAAGATTATGATTTGGATATACAGTATTATTTAGGAGAAGCCAATATTGTGGCTGATGCTTTGAGTTGCAAATCTCGTAGAATGATAAACTGGATGATTACTCAAGAGATTCAGTTTATCAAAGAAATGTAAAATCTGCAATTGTAATTTAGAGATTTTAAAATATGGAATATTTGCACCATATGATAATAAAGCCCACTTTAATAATGTATTAAGGAAGCTCAACAAACCAGTATTGAATATTCTAAATTGTTGGAGCAAGCCCAATCAGGAAAAAGACCAAATCTCTCTATTGATGTTGATGGAATGATTAGACACAAATCCTAGTTGTGATTATCTATTGATCCAGATCTAAGAAGAAAAATTTTGAAAGAAACTCATTATTCTAGCTACACAATTCATCCAAGCAGTGCCAACATGTATAAAGACTTAAAATTAATATTATGGTGGGCAACTATGAAGAAAGATGTTGCTAAAAATATAGCTTAGTGTGAAGCATGTCAAATTGTGAAAGCTGGACATCAACGAACTAGTGGATTATTGCAATCACTATTTATTTCTGAGTGGAAGTAGGAAGAAGTTGCAATGGCTTTTGTTATGGTATTTCCCGAATCTAGACAAGGACATAAAAACATTTGAGTGATTATTGATAGATTAACAAAATCAACTCACTTTTACCTAGCAAGAAAATTGGTTCAGTAGAAAAATTGGCACGCTTGTATGTGAAAGAGAATGTAAGATTGTATGGTATCCCAAAAGTTAGTGTTTTAGGGATTGTTGATTCACTTCTAGGCAATGGAAAAGCATTAATCGTCAATTGATGGTCAATCTCAAAGGACAAGTTAAGTATTGAAAAAAACTTATTGAGATTATGTGTTTTAGAACTTGGAGGTAATTGAGAGGACCACATACCATTTATAAAGTTTTCCTACAACAATAGTTATCAATCAAGTATAAAAATGAGACCATATAAAACACTATATGGGAGAAAGTGCATAACTCCCTTAACTTGGATTGAAGTAGGAGAAAGAAAGATAATGGGCCCAGAACTGGTGGAGGAAGCAACAGAGAAAATCAGATTAATTAGAGACAGATTAAAAGCTGCTCGGGATAGCCAACAAAAGTATTATGACCCCAAGCACAGAGCAGTAGAGTTTGAAGTGGGTGACTTTGTATTCTTGAAGGTTAAGCCTGTGAGAGCTCATTCCTTTGATTTGCCTTCTCAGATTTGATTTTTCCTCCCTGGATCGTCCAGGCCGATTTTGGATCGTCCTGGGACGATCAGTGCATGGCAAAATCCCGAGAGCAAGGGTTTTTGGCAAATTAATTATCGTCCTAGAAAATCATCCTGGACGATTTCAAATTGGTCATATCGTCCTGGACGATGTGGCGATCGGCCAGGACGATCAGACTTAGTTTATAAGGAAATCAGCTCGATTTGAGGAGAGAGAAGATATTTTTATAAAAATCAAAATATCTAAGGAGAGAGAAAGAGAAGGAAAGCGAAGGAAAAGCTTGTTTTCGGAGGCCGCGGAGCACTTTTCATCCGATGCCGCTGTTGGGAAAAGTGTTTATCTCGTGGTAAGGACTCTGAATCCTATTTCTATTTTCAGAGATATTGAGTTTTGATCGTATTGTGCACTGTTTTGTGTTTTTGTGATCGAAAAACGGACCCGGTTTTGTATTGACACAACTTTCACCGCACAACTTTTAATATGTTATAGATATGAATATTCTACAAGATTTGATTATTTTCTGAAACGATTTCACCGATTATTTTGGGTTTTAC